GGGGCTGGGAGGGGGGACAGGGCCGGGAGAGCGGCCCCCTGTGTGAGGGGCTGGACCCCAACCTTGTGTTTAGGGGTTGGGGCTCGGCCGCTCTGGGTGTGAGGGGATGGCGGCGGACCCCAAGCTCTTGTGAGGGGTTTCTCGCCATGAGGGGCTCGGGCTGGGCCCCTTCCCCATCCTGAGGGGCTCGGGCTGGGCTCTATCTGCTTGGGAGGGGCTGGAGTTGGGCCCTCTCCCCACCTTGGAGGGCTCAGGGCAGACCCCGACCCCCTCTGAGGGTCTCCCCAGCTGAACTCTCGCCATTTGAGCTGCTCACCCCCCTCTCAGCAGCCCTGAGCCCCCTCATCTCTGCCCCCTTTCGAGGAGCCCCTTCCCCATCACCCCCTTTTTTGAAGTGATGGGACAATCTGCAAGGCTTGGAAGGGCCGGTTTTTAACAGAATCCCTGGGATTTAGAGGCTCACGGATGAGGAACCCCTTTGTTTTTCCTCCCACAGAGCCCTGCCTGATTTATATAATATTTTTCGTCGCTTGGATGCTTCGTTATGAGCCACTAATCCGAGCAGGAGCCGAGTCAGTGCCTTGCTGCAGTGGTTTTGGGGCTGGGGACGCAGCCCAGGTGTGCAGGAGGAGCAGGTGAGGAGTTCCTGGGGTGTTCCAGGTGTTCCTGGAGCTTCCTTTCCCTCCATCCATTCAGGGATGCTGGATGTGGCTGCTCTGCCTCAACTCGGCAGCTCAAGGCTTTGGAGGGGGCTGGTTTGGGTTAAAAACGGGGAAAAAAAAAAGGTTTAAGGGTTTCTGTGGGGAGCCAGGTGCGTTCCAGAGATGTGAGCTGTGGGAAAGGAGGATTTGATCCCTTCCCTCTGGCCTGGCACAGCTGTGGGTGGTGCCTGGGCCCAGATTTTGGGCTTGGCCAGACCTGGAGTGAGTCAGTGTCACCTGATGGGTTCTGAATTCCTCTCTTTGTCCCTTAATGTCCCTTAAAGAGGGACGTGGCATGGGCTGGCAGGACATGGGGAATGGGCCACAGGGCTGGGGTAGATGGGATACTGGGAAGGGGAGGGATGGGATTTTGGGGAGGGGAGAGATGGGATACTGGGAAGGGAACAGATGGGATACTGGGAAGGGGAGGGATGGGATTTTGGGAAGGGAAGAGATGGGATACTGGAAAGGGGAGAGATGGGATTTTGGGAAGGTGACAGATGGGATACTGGGAAGGGGACAGGTAGGATTTTGGGAAGGGGATAGATGGGATACTGGGAAGGGGAGAGATGGGATTTTGGGAAGGTGACAGATGGAAATTTGGGAAGGAATTCCACCCTGGGAGTGTGGGGAGGCCCTGGCAGGGATTTCCCATTGTCCAACCTGGCCTCGAAGACCTGCAGGGAAGGGTGGTTTGAAGTGACCACAATCCCAGGGCTCTCAAATTCCTTTTGAACACACTTTTAACTTTTCCCTGCTGCTTCCTGTGGCTCCTAAAGGGGGAAAAAAAAATTCTCTGTGTTATTCCCAATCCTGTCCAGGCTGATGTCCCCGCTCTGAGCACACCCAGAGGTGTGGAATCCTGTCAGGATGAGGATCGTGGTGGCCAAGGTGCTGTGTCTGCTGGGGATCTGTGTCCTGATGCTGGCCGGGGCCCTGCTGCCCGTCAGGATCATTGAGGCTGACTACGAGAAGGCTCAGCGCTCCCGGAAGATCCTGGCCCTCTGGAATTCCTTCGGAGGCGGCGTCTTCCTGGCCACCTGCTTCAACGCCCTCCTGCCCGCCGTGAGAGGGAAGGTGAGTCCCGCTGAAATCCTGGATTAGGGATGGCGGGATCCCGGGTGGGAATGGGAGTGAGGGGGCTGTGTCCTGCTGGAGCTCTGCTGTGTCCGTGAAGGGCATCTCCTGCCTCTCTCCGTGGAAATCATGGGGATTTGTGGGATGCAGAGCAGGCTGCGAGGATCAAACAGCAAGGCAGGGATTCCCTGTCCCCTGCCAAGGCACATCACGGATCCATGGAGTGTCCGTGTGGGAATGTCTGCCTGCAGAGGGACAGAGGGATGGACTCACTGTGGGTCTGTGGGAATGGTGGGAATGGTTCCTTCCAGAGAAATAGAGATGGATTCACTGTGGGTCTGTGGGAATGTGTCTTTCCAGAGGGATAAAGGACAGGATCCATTGTGGATCTGTGGGAATGTTTCCCCCCCAGAGGGATAAAGGGCTGGATTCACTGTGGATCTGTGGGAATGTGTCTTTCCAGAGGGATAGGGATGGATTCACTGTGGATCTGTGGGAATGTTTCCCCCCAGAGGGATAAAGGGCTGGATTCACTGTGGATCTGTGGGAATGCTTCCCTCCAGAGGGATAAAGGGCTGGATCTGTTGCTCCCTTCCAGCTCGATGAGGTGCTCAGGCAGAACAACGTGACCACAGACTACCCGGTGGCCGAGACCATCATGATGGTCGGCTTCTTCCTGTCGGTCTTCGTGGACCAGCTCTTCCTGACCTTCCAGAAGGAGAAACCCTCCTTCATTGACCTGGAGACCTTCAACGCCGGCTCGGACGCGGGCAGCGACTCCGAGTACGAGAGCCCGTTCATGGGCTCGTCCCGCGGGCGCGCCCCGTACGGGGAGCACGGCCCGGCCTCGCACGGCCTGGCGCTGCCGGAGCTGGCACGCTGCGGCCCCCGG